GATCCTCAATTTAATATTGATTGTTAAAAAATATTATACCAAATATTATACTAATTATTTATTCATTTATTAAGTTTGATAAACTTCATGAGCCTGAGGAGATCCTCAATTTAATATTGATTGTTAAAAAATATTATTTATTTGTTTCTTATTTGTTTTGTAACAAATGGTTAAAAAAAAAGAACCGATAGCTATACTTCTCCTCGCAGGCGATCTCTTGAACGAGGATCAGATACTGGGTTGGCTGTTGCATCAGAAGAAACACTCCGAGATCCCGGAAGTGACGGACGAAATGGTCGAGAAGCTCGTCGAGCGTTCGCCGTACATGGCAGTCCTGTTTTGTAAGCGATCTCGATTCGTCTTTCTACCTCCTTTTAACATTCTTCCGCATGTTAATTGTTAGGTAGGTGCTGTTGTCACGAATGTGATTGAGAACGAACCAGCGAATTGATTAATTTTCGTAGACGACAAGGACGACAAGCAGGACATAAGAATTCTAAACGAGCTCGAGAACATCGACGACGAGCTCGAGAAGGAGGGCATCGTCATCGTGCGAATAGACAACGACGCCGAGGCCAAGGAATACGGTATCGATCATCTGCCTACTCTGGTTTACTTCGAGGACAAGATCCCGGCGATATACGAGGGCGATCTTCTGAACGAGGACGAGGTGCTCGAGTGGCTGATAGAACAGAAGAACAGCGCCACAATCGAGGAAGTCACGGACGAGATACTGACGGATCTGATTGACGATCACGAATACGTTGTGGTGTATTTCAGTAAGCGCGCCAATCCCCACCCTATATCAACCGCGTGAATTTGCGGAACAATCATTTCTTTCCTATCTCCTCGCTTAGAAAGAGAGCATTAATCAGGATTTTTTTTATTCAGGCGGAAGCTGCGACGAAGGAGAAAAGTGCGACAACATCCTCGACGACCTGGAGAACATCGACGACGAACTGGACGAAAACGGCATCATATTCGTGACTACCGAGGACACCAGCGTAGCGAAGAAATACGGCATCAAGCACTTCCCGACCCTCGGGTTCTTCAGAAACAAGGACATGCTCCTCTACACCGGCGATCTCGACGACGAGGACGAGGTGTTATCCTGGATCACGGACGAAGACACTTTGGAAATTCCGGGAAAGATCGAGGAGGTCAACGCCAGAATGCTGGAGAACATTCTTGACGAGAACGACTACGTCGTCGTCTTCTTCTGTACGTTTAACCGTGTAGCGTAGCTGTTAATTGATTCGATGACGCGTCGAATTGCTTTGTGTTTTTTTTTTTTTTGCAGACAAAGAAGGCGACAAGAAGAGCCAGAAGATTCTCCAGGAGCTCGAAAACATTGACGACGAGTGCGAGGAGAAGGACATCGACTTCGTCAAGATTTCCGACGAAGGTATCGAGAAGGAGTACGATCTTCCGGGACTACCGGCGTTGGTGTTTTACAGACACAAGTTCCGGCAGATCTACTCGGGCGATATGATGCACGAGGAAGAGATCTTGGAGTGGGTTCTCGAGCTTCGCACAACCCAGCCGGATGTTATCGAGAGCGTCGACAGAAAAACATTGCAGGTGCTCATCAACGACGTCGAGCATCTTGCCGTCTTCTTTTGTAAGTGTCAGCCTATTTTGTTTTGCTTTTTAATATTTTATATTTATATCAAGACATTCGTTCAAGCGAAAACTGCAAATTTGAGTGAGAAAATAATTTCTCGCTTAAAGACTAAAAAATTAATAAGATGCAAATTTTTTTTCCGATTAATTGAAACTCTCATTTTTTTCTGAATATACAAAATTAATTAGTTGCCAGCTGTTCAATTACTGTTATGTTCTAGAGAATATAACTAATAAGAGAAAAATATTAAACGTTTAATAATAAATTGCGTGATTTAACAGACGACGACAAGTGCGAATCCTGCCCGGACATACTCGAGGAATTGGAAACGATTGACGATGATACCGACAAGCACGGTATTCAATTCGTCAAATCGAACGATGCCAAACTCGCAGCTGAAATCGGCGTTTTCTCCTTCCCGGCTCTCGTTTATTACGAGACCGGAGTCCCCATCATGTACGACGGTAAGTACACACGGAGGGTTCCATACTTTGCTTTTTTTTATTTTTGAGCTTACCTCGTCCTTCGTCGCGTGCAATACCACGTTTCTCTCTCGCGGGAACAAAGTAAAAAAGATCGGGGCACTTCGTGCTCCGATACGCGATATCGTATACTCGCTAGGTCGCTCTCTCCTACACCGAAAAAATTATATTCTCGTAAGTAGAAGATTTTATACTTAAAAAATCTTCTCAAAGATTTTAGATGATATTCTTCTGAAATTAAGAATATATTTTTTATTTCAGAATATAGTCTTTTTTGATAGTGAGATATATATGTTTTTCTATAGAGGCTTTTTATATTCTAATCAATATATATTCTTATCAATATTACTATTTAGAGGATTTTTCTCTTAAAATAAGAAACTCGTCTTGGCGCCTATTTTAGTATAAAATATACTTAAAGTAAATGAGATATCTCCTCAAAACAAGAATACAATTTTTTCGGTGTACGTGTATATATATATATATATATA